TTACACAGAGAACTAAAAAAAAAACCCTAGCGAGAAAATTTCTTCTTGGAGAGCTTCAATGGCGAAATCAATGAGAACAATCAAAAATCCTTTCTTCACATCGCATCCACCATCTCCATTCTTCCATTTCTCTCTCCTCTTCTTCTCTCCCCCGAAGAAATCAAGTCCTCGATATCTCAACCACCATCACCAAACTCGATGCTCGCCTCCTCAATTTTTCCTCCTTTTAATCTCACTTTCTCTCGTTTTCTCTGGAATTTCGTTTCTCACATCGTCTTTAGACTCTGGGTCAACTTGCTTCTCCACAGTTTCTCCATCTTCGTCTCTCAATTTCTTCATCTCCGACGACAATCGTCATCTCCTAACTTCCCTCGCCGTCTCCACCGCTCCATCATTGTTTCCCTTACCGGCGAGAGGAGGGTATTCCGGGAACATGACGGAGGAAGAGAAGGAGTTTTGGAAACAGCCCAACGGTGAAGGTTACAAGCCTTGTTTGGATTTTAGTTTGGATTACAGAAAGAAATCGGCTAGGGTTTCTAAAGAGAAGAGACGATTCCTCGTCGTTGTTGTCTCTGGTGGACTCAATCAGCAACGAAATCAAATCGTTGACGCTGTTGTAATCGCTAGGATTCTTGAAGCTGCTCTTGTTGTTCCAGTTTTGCAGGTGAATCGAGTCTGGGGAGACGAAAGGTAAAATCTGAGATCTTTTTTCTGGGTTTTTGATTCGAGTTACTGATTAAGACTCGAAATCTCTTTTCTCAGTGAGTTCTCAGACATTTTCGATGTGGAGCATTTCAAGAAAACATTGAGATCCGATGTGCGTATTGTTTCTTCTTTACCATCAACGCATCTTATGTCTAGACAAACAATTGAGAATCAGATTCCATGGGATGTTTCTCCGGTTTGGATCCGTGCAAAATTCTTCAAACTGGTGTGTGTTTTTTGCTGTATTACTGGTTTTGATTGAGATTATGTTTTCTGTGATTCTTTGATCTTGAATGTTAACTAAATGCAGTTGACTGAGGAAGGGCTTTTGGTGTTGAAAGGATTAGACTCAAGGCTAGCTAAGAATCTCCCTCTGGATCTCCAGAAACTTCGATGCAAGGTGCGATTTTTCAAACAGCTCTTCCTTTTCAATTGCTAGATGAGAAACTGTTTGGTTGCTTTTAATTTTGCTGGTTTGTAGGTTGCTTTTCATGCGCTGAGATTCGCAGCACCGATTGAGAACCTCGGGAACAGACTCGCCAGAAGAATGTGGATTGAAGGTCCATATATAGCTCTCCATTTAAGGCTAGAGAAAGATGTGTGGGTAAGAACTGGTTGTCTCACTGGATTAGGCTCAGAATTCGACCGAGTTATTGCGGAAACCAGAATGGCTCAGCCTCGTTACCTCACTGGTAGACTAAATATGAGCTATACAGAGCGTAGACTTGCTGGGTTTTGTCCTCTCAATGCATTTGAGATTGCAAGGTAACTTAAAAGAAGAAATTGAACATGAAGCTGTCTGGTTTTATATAAACTTAGAATTTTTTTAGTCCGTTTTTGGATTCAAGGTTGTTGAAGGCCTTGGGAGCACCGAGCAATGCATCGATATATATCGCAGGAGGTGAACCATTTGGTGGTGGGCCACGAGCACTAGAGCCACTCGCTAAAGTGTTCCCTAATTTGGTGACAAAAGAGACATTGGCTCATAAAGGCGAGCTCTTGCCTTACACCAACAGATCTTCAGCTTTAGCAGCTATCGACTACATTGTTTCGCTTAGCAGCAATGTTTTTCTTCCTTCTCATGGCGGAAACATGGCCAAAGCTATGCAGGTGAAAATCACACAAAACATAAATATATTGGCTTTTGAAATAAATGATCATTGCTGGATTTGATTCTTGAAACCTGTTATTCTCTGTGTTTCTCTTCAGGGGAATAGAGCTTATGTAGGACACAGGAAGTTTATAATGCCAAATAAGAGAGCGATGCTTCCATTGATGGAGAATTCTTCGGTTTCGGAATCTGAGCTCAGTCTTGTAACTCGGAAGCTTCACCATAAGACTCAAGGCCATCCTGAGTCACGGAGAGGGCGGAGAGATCGTGACGTGGTGGCTTATCCCGTCCCGGAGTGTATGTGTCGCCATAGGAAACACAGGTCTGTAGGTTTCTTCTAGAGGCTCAGGATCCTTGCTCCTCAAGGCAATACTTTTAAACAGGTTTTCCCCACCTTGCCCCTCAAGGTAACACCTGTCAGAGACATGTCCTGCTGTATCTAATCGAAGTTAAACACGTGTACAGATCCTTTACTGTAAATGTACAACATTTCATTCATTCATTAATGTTTTTGTCAATAAGTGATTGTGTCGAAAATGATATTGTTTAGCTGTAACTAATGGTAGTGATACACGTGTAAACTAATTTCTTGGTGTACAGATTTTGTTTCTGAGTTCAAAGAACGTTGAACGGGTTTTCAGATTTTAATATTTTTTCCACATTCAAATAATACAATAAAAAAATTTGATTGGTTTAGTCATTGCCACGTAAATATATATTAATTTATTTGACTTAAGTTCATAATTGAAATATCGCCTACTTCTCGCATGCTCACACTCTTCGCCGACGAAAAAGATTAATCTCTCTAACCGCCGTGTAGAATGCAGACGAAAAACAACGACAACCGTTCGATTGACCGGAGCTCCGGCTTTAATCGACGGACAGGAATCTATCACAGCCTTCGTCCTTCTCTTTCTCTACCTCCTATCGATCAACCTCTCTCCGCTGCCGAATTCGCGCTTTCTCTTCTCCGCAACTCCTCACCACCCGCCACCGCCGGAAAAGAAATCGGAGCACTTACTTACCTTGTAAACTCGAGCTCTGGTGATAGCTTAACTTATGGTGAGCTTCTTCGTGGTGTTCGTTCTCTTGCTGTTTGTCTCAGGGAGCGATTTCCTTCTCTTTCATCTAGAGATGTAGCTTTTATCCTCTCTCCACCTTCGTTGCATGTACCGGTGCTTTACTTGGCTTTAATGTCGATCGGCGTTGTGGTTTCGCCGGCGAACCCAATCGGATCTGATTCGGAAGTGAGTCATCAGGTTGAAGTCAGTAAACCGGTAATTGCTTTCGCGACATCGCAGACGGTTAAGAAGTTTCGTTCATCTTCTTCTTTACCTCTCGGAATCGTTCTGATGGAATCGCCTGAGTTTCTCTCCTGGTTATCTCGACCGGATTCTTCAACGGTCAACCCGATTCACGTTCGGGTCAACCAATCGGACCCTGCCGCGATCCTCTTTTCTTCGGGAACAACCGGGCGGGTCAAAGGCGTTCTTCTCACCCACCGTAACCTAATCGCCTCAACGGCGGTAATTCACCAACGGACTATCGAAGATCCGGTTGATTACGACCGTGTTGGGCTGTTTTCGCTACCGCTTTTTCACGTGTTTGGCTTCGGGATGATGATCCGAGCCATTTCGCTTGGAGAGAAACTGGTGCTTCTAGGGAGATTTGAGCTCGAGGCGATGCTTAAGGCGGTGGAGAAGTATAAGGTCACTGGTATGCCTGTATCTCCGCCGTTGATTGTGACGTTGGTCAAATCGGAGCTAACAAATAAGTACGATCTCCGGTCGTTACGTTCACTAGGCTGCGGCGGTGCTCCTCTTGGGAAAGACATCGCCGAGAGGTTCAAGCAGAAATTCCCCGACGTGGATATTGTCCAGGTATAGTAAGACAATTACTGTAAACTACATGACTTTTCATGATTCTTGGAATCTAATTGCTTGTCAAGGTCTTGATCATATAAGAATATTGGACTG